TCTTTGATATTTACTTAAATTGAAATAAAAGTGATCTACTGTGTATAAGTACTTGGTTAGGTGTTGTAGCTGAAAGATGAGTACTATGGGCCCTGAGTTTAGTGAAGGGGCAGGCCATGACAGACAGACAAGAAGCAACTAACTAGAAATGGATACTGACTGCGTTATAGTTGAGATACACAGAAAACATTTCAGAGCACAAGCAAGAGGGAGAATTCCAGATTCATGCAGGACACCTTAGGAGGCTTGGAGAAGGATGGAGCACCTGACTTTTTTCTGAGAACAAGTGAGAAGAGACATCTAGGCAAGGGGTGACCATGTAGCTGGAGATTAAGGCATGGGCAGGAACAGGTGATAAAGCCACTGACTGGAGTGTGCACCATGCAGCAGGGACCAGGGACAGCCAGAGACTGGAAACCCTGTTGAGTGCTCTGCTGACAGGCCGTGGTTTACGCTCTCTGTGACCAGGAGCTCTCCAAGGTGTTAACAGGTGAATGAGCAGGGGAATGACATGGTGAGGTTGGGGCTTACAGCCAGTCTCCACAGAAGGAGTGTTAGGATCCCCTGTGGAGAGCTTAGAACAGAAGTAGCTAGGCCAGCAAAGCATGGGTCTAGAGATGACTCTAGAGTGGGTGGAGAGGAAATGCCAGAGACAATGAAATGACCCAAGTTCTACATATCAGACACATACAATAGGCAGGTTTTGTTAGTTTGTTCGTTTCTGGGCTAATGACACGTACTATAGTCAATACTTACGTAGAGGAATGTCCTATAATGCAGTGTTGTGATTAAGGCAGATTAAGCCAATCTGAAAAGGCTGCTTACTTCATGAGCCCAACTATAGGACATTTTTTAAACAAGTTTTTGCTATAGAACACATGTGCTCACCAGAAAGACAGAGACAGAGTGACAGAAATTGAGAAATCACTGGCCACGCTGCAATCCCTTCTCCTCCATTTTCCTCTCGGGATTTTGGGCATGGATGCACACATGCCTGGCATGAGTTTAAGCCACTGGGTCCGGGACTCAAACTGCAGTCAACTACATGTGAGTCCAGCGACATAGACATCATACCAACTGCTGGTCCCGTAAACTCTAGGACATTTTTGAAAAGGCTAAAGTATGGAGATGGTAGAAAGATTGGTGTTTACCAGGAGCTTGGGGGAGAGAGGGATGAGCAGTAGGACACAGAGGACTTTCAGGGCAGTAAAACTCCTCTGTATGATCCTGCAGTGGTGCATACGCATCATTTTACATATGTCAAAACTCATAGAACATACAACACAGAGAGAACCCTGGTGTAAACTGCAGCCCCTGGTGAGAATGGGTGTGTCTGTGTGGCTCAGCAAGAGCATACCACTCTAGTGGGGGATGTGGATGGTGAGGGAGGCTGTTTATCAGTTGGCAGGGAGTCCATGGAGATTCTCTGTACTTTCTATTCAATTTCATTGTGAACCTGAGCTACTTTAAACATTAAAGTCTATTTTTAAATAATTGCCAAGGAGCATGTGCACTTGCCAGAAAAAGAAATGGAGAGACAGAGAGCAGCAGAGGGACAGGGAGAAAGAGAAATCACTCCCCAATGGTTATACCACAGTCTCTTCCCCTCTATTTCTCCAGTCTGTTGGACTTCAGGCACACACTCGCACGCACACATGCACGCACACATGCACACACACAGACACACATACACACGCCTGGGTGTTTTTCAAGCTGCTGGGACTGGGACTCAAAATGCAATCAGCCATGTGGGATCCAGCTCCCTTAAGCAATAGGCCCTGGGGCTGGCCCTAAAGTCTGCTGAAAAAAAAAATTAGATGACATAGATTGGAAACCAGATTACAAATTGCCGCCCCTATAACCTTGGGCAGTTATTTAACCTTTCTGTGCTCCAATTTTTGTCTTTAAAATGGACCAAAAAAAGTTCCTACATAAGCTCAGTTTCATGGTGCAGTGAAAAAACTCTGGGTGTACACATGTATGTCCAAGGTCACACATGGACAAGCTGGGGAGTCTCGGAAAAGGAATTGTGAAGTGATAAAACCCTGTCAAGGGTCTCTCTCTTTCTCATGTGTGCATGTGATCTTTTTTATAAAAAAAATTAAAAACCTGTTTCTACTTACAGTGTAAATACATGTAAAGTTAGGCAACACTTACTAAGATCTTAGTACTAGTAAGTGTTTGCTACTTTAATTTTTACTATTATTTTTAACCCCATGAAGGTAAACATTAATGTAGTACTCCTTCATTAATAGCTCTGGGAAAACTGTGTATATACAACTATTAAATTAGTTTGCCTTCAGGCCTGCCCTGTAGTGCAGGGGTTAAGTACTGTGCACAAGAAGCTAGATCTTACACATGAATGACCAGAGTTCAAATCCTGGCCCTGTTGGCTTGAAAACACTGGGAGTGTGCAGGTGCCCAGGATCCTGATGGGATGGAGAACTGGAAGAAAAAAGACTGTGGTATGACCAGGCCCTGTTGGGGGTAGGGGGGTGCTTCCTTTCTTACTCCTTTCTCTCTCTTGTGCTCATGCACCATTAAAAAACAATTAGTTTGCTTAAGTGAAGTAAAGGACACATGTGTAGTGTGTCTTGATGGGACATCCATTTGAGAAAAAAAAAAATTTGAATTTGCTATAGGGCATGTGCACTCACTATAGAGAGAACACAAGAAATCACCTCCCAGGGTGGATGACTATGCCACAATCATCTCCTTCATTCTCGTCTCAGGATATGGAGCACGTATACCCACATGCCCAGCATGAGTTTCAAGCTGCCAGGTTCAGGACTTGAACCGTGGTCAGCCACATAGGAGTCCAGCGCCTTAACCACCACACCACATGGCGACCCCAAGAAAACAATTGTTAAAACATTCATGGTGTCGGGGTTGGGTTTGCTGAGGAAGAGCAGTGCTCAGGGCACTCTAATCAGGCAAGTAACTGCCAAAGGGACAAAGGAATTGTTCAAGTAGAGAAGTCATAGGAAAGAGGTAGAAGAGATAGGGAAAGGGGTCGAGAGAGCACAGAGGCCGCCAGAATGGTCTATGCTGACAGCTTTCCCTAAGATTGGCCTTTTGTGTCCTTGTGTATTTGTCTCTCTCTGGCAACCTTGTGTTTTGGGTGATTTGTAAGTTAAAGTTCAGCTTCTCAACTGGTTGTTCACAGGAGTGTCCAAGCACGTTGGAGATGCCCTGAAAGCCCATTCCTCACAGTCCTTGAGAAAAATCTGGGCAGTCGGAATCCCTCCTTGGGGCGTCATTGAGAACCAGAGAGATCTTATTGGAAAAGATGTAAGTAGACAATCCTTTCCGAACAAAAAGAAATGAACACATGTCCAAATTGTCAACTTAACACAGTACCTGGATGTCACAGATGTGGTAAATCCACCAGCTCCTGTCTTCTTTTTTTTTGAGAGGTTTTCGCTATAGGGCGCATGCGCTTGCCAGACAGACAGAGAGAGACATAGAGACAGAAAGCGAGAAATCACCCCCCAGGAAATTGGCCACGCCGCAATCCCTTCTCCTCCATTCTCCTCTCGGGATCTTGGGCATGTACGCACACGTGCCCGGCGTGAGTTTTAAGCCACCGGTTCCGAGACTTGAACCGCGGTCAACTACGTGGGAGTCCAGTGACATAGCCATTACGCTAACTGCTGGTCCCAGCAGCTCCTGTCTTCTGACAGCTTCTCTTGCCCACTCTTAAAGTAAAAAACTTGGGATAATTCTGGAGTGGGCTCTTTGTCTCATGGTTCAAACTTGATCCATCGGTAAACATCTCAGCTCCATTTTTAAAATATCCCCCAAATATCTGACTTCCCGTTACCTCTACTGTAGTTGAGTGGGTCCACGCCAGCACTGTCTGTCTCCTGAATGACTGTGATAACCTTCCTTACTCTTCCCCTGTCTGCTCTTACCGTCTATTCTCAATGCAGTAGCCAGAGTGATTCTTCTAAACGATAAATGAAATTATGTCATTCCTCTGTACAGAATCCTTCAATGGCTCCTGTTTTAACTGGCATGATAGGCAAGGTGTTTGAGTTTTTTTAAGCATAATTTTTAGAAATATAATTTTCATTTTTTAAACCTAATTGTTATATTAGTTGACAAGTGCCAACTGTACATATTTATGGAATACAGTTTGATTTTTTAAAAAAAAGCATTATTCAATTTTAAAATTTCATTTGTTATTGTTATTTTTTAATATGATTAGAGAGAGAGACCCAAGGAGAGAGAAAGGGAAAGTGAGAAAGCAAGGTATCAGGTCTGGGACTTGAACTGCAGTTATCCATGCGGGAGTTCAGAACCTTAACCACCATGCCACCTGCTGGCCCTCCATTTGAATTTTTTTTTTTTTGAGAGGTTTTTGCTATAGGGCGCGTGCGCTCGCCAGAAAGAAAGAGAGAGACAGAGAGTCAGAAAGCGAGAAATCACCCCCTGAGGGGATGGCCACGCTGCAATCCCTTTTCCTTCATTCTCCTCTCGGGATCTTGGGCATGCACACACACGCGCCCGGTGTGAGTTTAAGCCACTGGGTCCGGGACTTGAACCGTGGTTGACTACATGAAAGTCCAGTGACATAGCCATTACGCTAACTGCTGGTCCCTCCATTTGAAATTTTGATACAAATACACAATGTGTAACAATCAAATTAGGGCAGTTATTGTTTATTACTTTAAACATTTGTCACTTTTTGATGTTCAAAATCATCTCTTCTAGTTTTGAAATATACAATAAATTGTTGATACATATAGTTGTCCTACAGTGTTGTTGCACTCTAGAATTTATTCGTCATGTCAAGCTATGATTTTATACCTAGTGAGCAAACTCTCTCAACCTCAGCACTTTCTCCTTCCCTGGTCCTTTTTTTTTTCTTCATAGAAACTGATTAAGGCTTTGGAAAAGAAATCAGAAGATGTGCAGTATCATTGTCAAAGAGCTTATAGTCACATTCTTCTTAGGAATGACTGATGCTATTGCCAATGCAAAGAAGTCTCTTTTATTTTTATTTTTTATTTTTTTGAGAAGTTTTTGCTATAGAGAGCATGTGCTCAACCAGAATGACAGAAAGTGAGAAATTGCTCCCCTCCCACAGGGGGAAGGCCATGCCACAATCCCTTCTCCTCCATCCTCCTCTTAGGATATTGGGCACGCACGCACACATGCCCAGCGTGAGTTTAAGCCACCAGGTCCAGGACTTGAACCACAGTCGACTACATGGGAGTCCAGAGACATAGCCATTACGCCAACTGGTGGTCCTGCAAAGAAGTCTCTTGAAATCAATCCAAATAATTGTACTGCTATGCTGAGAAAATGGATATGTGGATACCATGAAAAAGAGACTATTCTACTGCTCCAGAAACTTTTTTTTTTTTTTTTTTGAGAGATTTTCACTGTAGGGCGCGTGCGCTCGCCAGACAGACAGAGAGAGACATAGAGACAGAAAGCGAGAAATCACCCCCCAGGGGGGATGGTCACGCCGCAATCCCTTCTCCTCCATTCTCCTCTCGGGATCTTGGGCACGCACGCACACGCGCCCGGCATGAGTTTTAAGCCACCGGGTCCGGGACACGAACCGCGGTCGACTACGTGGGAGTCCAGCGACATAGCCATTACGCTAACTGCTGGTTCCCTTGCTCCAGAAACTTTTAAAGGACAGAAATTAGATAGTGTAGATGCCGATCTCCTTGTCTGGATTAGGTGTCGAGATGCTCAGTACGGATCAGAATCAGGTGAATCAAATCGTTATGCATCCCAGCAGCTGTAGCAGTCAAAAGTCCAGTATGGCTGGAGTAATCATTACACTTATGATCAAGAACGTTCAGAAGAATGCTGTAAATGTGGAATTTTCAGAAAAAGTTGTCTGCTTTGATGAAACTTCATTCTGGAGACGATTACAATTTGAAATTGAGATTTCTTTATCCTATAATACCAGGAAAGAGCACATTTTAAGTGCTTTCAACAAAGGTTAAAGTTAAAATGAAAAAAAAAACAAAGGCCGTGGAACCAGTAGTTGGCGTAATAGCTATGTCGCTGGACTCCCATGTAGTCAACCATGGTTTGAGTCCTGGACCCGGTGGCTTAAACTCACATCAGGTGTGTGTGCTGCAGGTGTACCCAAGATCCTGAGAGGAGAATGGAGGAGAAGGGATTGCGGCGTGGCCATCCCCCCTGGGGGGTGATTTCTCGCTTTCTATCTTTCTGTCTCTCTCTGTCTTTCTGGCGAGTGCATGCGCCCTATAGCAAAAAACCTCTCAAAAAAAAAAAAAAAAGTTGAAGTCTTGAGCTTCCTGAAAGCATTCCCACTTTCTACCCCACTGCTCAAAAGCATGGGAGTATTTCATGGAAAATTAAATTCTGCACAAGCTCTAGAAAAACCTCTGGGTCAGTGCAGGTCCTGCTGCAGCAGCCTCCATCCGTGAGTCACTGTTGCCACTCCTGGAGCTGTTCCTACTATGGTTGTCACGGCCGCCGCTACCCACGGGGAAGCTCCTCCCCCAACCCCCAGGTTCTAGTAACCACTATTCTGCTCTCTACTTGCAGGGGTTCACCCTTTTTAACTTCCACATATGAAAGAGAACTTGCAGTTTCTTTTTTTTCTGCATCTGGCTTATTACATGTAACATCTTCCAGACTCTTCCATGCCATCGTGAATGACAACACTTCCGTCTCTTTTATCACTGAATAGTGTGCCATTGTGTAATATATCACACTTTATTCATTCCACTGCTGATGGACACTTAGGTGGAGTCCCTATCCTGGCTGCTGTGAACTATGGTTTACATGCAGCAAAACAGGGCACATTCTCATATGGCCCTTGCTAGTGCTCTTCCTTCATCTTGTAATACTCTCTGCTTCATGCTTTCTTGTTTATTGATTCTGTGATCTAACTATGTGTTCTTCTAAAGGAAATGAACTTGTATAAGTCTGTGTGTAAGACTAATATACGTTTTATGTAAAAATTTCAGAGGGTGGGACCGGCAGATGGCATAATGGTAATGCGTACCAGTTATGCATCATAGGACCGCACATTGGTCCTTAAAACTTGGGATGTTTAAAATATGGATTATTCTCCACAGATAGTTTGAGGAGGACTGCTCTAAGTAGCAAGTGTACTTTCAACCTTGATGGGAAATCTGTTAGTGCATAGAAACAAGCCTTTGGAGGAGCTAGGCCTGGGGAAGGATCTAGTCTCTGACCTTCCCTTGCTCTTGCTGTCTCTCAGGTGGTGTGTCTGTACCAGACTCTAGGGAACCCCCTGAGCAAGCTCACCACGCTCAACTGTATGCACTCACACTTCATCCTGTCTGATGATGGGACTGTGGGCAAGTACGGAAATGAGATGAAGCTCAGAAGGAACCTGGAGAAGTACCTCTCTCTGCAGAAAATTCACAGCCGTGAGTATCACAGAGACTCAGCCAACAGGTCTGGTCTAAACTGCTGAGGCGCTAGACTCTGTTGTCATCTGTATGGAGCAGAGAGGGCCAAGGCTACTCTGCTTTAAAACAGCCAGAGAGATAAAGGTAACATGTATGAACCCACGGCCAGAAGAAAATGCAATTTAGGATGGTGCAGAATTGTGGGTAACAGGTGAGAGCGAGGAGAAATCTTTAGGGGACAATAAGTCAGGAGGTTTCATGGAAAGATAGATTCTTAAGCAGAGTTTAAGAGTCCTTAAAGTTGGGGCTGGCAAGTGGCGTGGTGGTTAGGGCTGCTGGACTTCCACTTGGTCAACCATGGTTTGAGTCTCAGACCTGGCGGCTTGCTTTCTCACTGTCTCTCTCTCTCTGGCCAAATTAAAAAATAAGCAAGTAAATAATAAAGTTAAATAAAATAATTAAAAAAAAACAGAAGAGTCCTTAAAGTTGGAGTGGTGGAAAGAGAGGGGTGGGGAGTTATGTGTGTGGGAATGAGAATGGCTGAAGAGCAATAGCATAGCTTGTGAAGAGTAGGTTATGATGGTGGATGGTCAGGGAAGATCACATTCCATATGTGGGTGGGATGACCATGGGCAAGGAAGGAGTTAAAGTCAGACAGGACTTTTAGATACAGAGACCTGGAAAGGTGTCAGGATTGTGTCATGCTCCCAGCGGGACTTCAATACAGTAACTTGTAGGAGGGCAGGCAAGAGGCAGGGCTAGATTCAGCCCGATCTGTGGGCACAGTGGGGTGTGTCCTTCACAGAGAGGGGGAAGGCTGGGTACCACCTGGAGAAATAGTGACGTTTTTGTTCAAAACATAACATGGTCCCCAGTTTCTTGTGCAGAATTTAATTTTCCTTGAAATTAAATTTCCATGCTTTTGAGCAGTGGGGTAGAAAGTGGGAATGCTTTCAGGAAGCTTAAGACTTCAACTTTTTTTTTTTTTTGAGAGTTTTTTTGCTATAGGGCGCGTGCGCTCACCAGAAAGGCAGAGAGAGACAGAAAGATAGAAAGCGAGAAATCACCCCCCAGGGGGGATGGCCACGCCGCAATCCCTTCTCCTCCATTCTCCTCTCGGGATCTTGGGCACACATGCACACGTGCCCAGCGTGAGTTTAAGCCACCTGGTCCAGGACTCAAACCACAGTCGACTACGTGGGAGTCCAGCGACATAGCCATTACTCTAACTACAGGTCCCAAGACTTCAACTTTTGAGCGTTAACTCTGAGAAGTGCCTTTTTGCCTGGATCCCCTGAGGCGACAGAACTTAGTGAAGTCAGACTGATCAGAGCTCTGTCATTTACTGCCTGTGACCTTGAGCAATGAAGGTGGCATCTGTAAAATAATTTCCTTAATAAGCAAGTAGAAGAAACTCTCTACCTCCAACTTTTGCTGTGAGAATTAATTGAAAAAAATGTATGTTAGATGTTCTAGGTTAGTGTTTGGTACATAGCGTGTCTTTAATAAATATGTTTCCTCCTTTCCTTTTCCCTTTTTTGGAAGGACCCATTGAAGGTCTGGAATGTTAGTGGTCATCTCATGGGTGTGAGATAACTTGTGGTGGGGGTGGGGTTCTGGGAATTGTTGACAATCACTTTGAGCTTGTGTGAAATGAAGGTTCCGGGGACCAACAGATGGTGTGATGGTTACGTTGCTGGATTCCTATATAGTCAACTGCTATTCGAGTCCCAGACCCAGAAGCTTAATTTAATACTCATGCTGGGGGCATGTATGTGTGTGCCCACAATCCTGAGAGAGGAAAATGGGGAGGGGGAAGAGATTGCAATATGGCTATCCCCCTTGGAAGGTGATTTCTTGCTCTCTGCCTCTCTGTTTCTGTTTCTGTCTCTCTGGTGAGCAGCATACACACATATACACCCTGTAGCAAAAATCTTTCTCAAAAAAAAAAAAAAAAAGAAGAAGAAGAAATGAAGGTTCTGGGGCCACAGAAAGAAGAGAGAGGATCATATTGTGTTCTCCTGTGAGGTGGGGGTGATAGGAGGAAGAGAGGCCAACAGATGAGAGGGAAGGAGTAGAGGTCAGAGAAGAAGAAGGAAGAGCCCATTGAGGGTCTGAAATGTTAGTTACCTGAAATGCCTTGTTGCCTCAACTGATTTACATGCACCTCCTAAACTGCTTGGGGTGCTGTGTAGTACTGCAGTGCATGCCCCATGAAAGCAATGTTTCAGTCATTTGTATTCCCTGCTGTTTTTCTATTCTGTATGAATGCTAGCAACCCTGAGCTTGCTTGCATGAGGGGGCTTAAAACTTGAATGGAAAATAAAATTAAAGCTTGAGTCTATTTTATTGCAAAAATGTTGAAATCCATGTAGTTTTTTCATATTATGGATTTGTCATGGTCTTTTTGAAGATCCTTCGTAGCAGTGGACCTTGAAACAGTATTTATCTGGGGAGATTTGCTGACTATGAAGAATGAATGAGGGGTAGATCACAGTGTATTGGTAACATTGAATATTCTAAGGAAAACCCATATGAAAACAGCAAAAATAGTAAGCCACTCACCCCGACAAGCACACACAGAAGAAACCAAAGAAAAAGAAAAATGCCCCTCAAACCCCAAATTCGTGTTTTTCAAAACTGATCTATATACCTGACATACTTAACAAGAGGTTTTCTGCCCTATTTGTGTTTGTCATTGACTTGGTCAATAAGGGATGAAATGAAAATACATAAGTATGTTGTGGATTACTTTCCTTTATTTCCTTGGAGTCCTTGGGAAACCTTTGATGGCAGAGGATATTTACAAAAGAAGAGCGTAAACAGAAAAGACTCACTCTGTAGAGGCTCTGCCGGAATGCCTGGCCTCAGCTGTTTGGAATGTGGCCAAATGTCAGCTTCTGTTTCGTAACCCTCCTAGAACATGACGTCAGGCATGAGCTTCTCGATGGACAAAAGTGCCCTGTCCTGGGATAAGACGTCTACTGTAGGAACTTGTAATTTGGAGGTGGAAATAAGCATAATTTAGCATATTTTTAATGACATAATATTCCATTATATGGATGGAAAACATAAACAATTTTTTTGTTCATTCCAACATTTATGAAATGTTCATCTAAATTTTCTTCTTCTACTACTTTTGTTACATACTATACCATTTTCCTCAATCAATTTAGCTTCTTCTTAAATCATATAATTTTATTTACAATTAGTTTTTAATTCACCAGAGAGAGACAGAACAATATTAAGTTTCTTTTCTTTTCATGAAAGAGAGAGAAAAGACTGAGAGAAAGACAGACAGATGACAACTTGCTGCCATCCCCCCTGCAACCCCCAAGCCTTCCAGTCAATCAGAATTAGGGCTTTACTGTGGGCACACTGATGTGTTTGAGTCAACCCAGGCCCCTACAGAGCACTAGCACTGGGCAGCAGCACCCTACCACCAATAACATCACAGCTGAGACTCCATTTAGCTCTTTTAAATTTTTTTAAAGAATTATTTTATTTGGGGGAACCAGCAGTTAGCGTAATGGCTATGTCGCTGGACTCCCACGTAGTCGACTGCGGTTCGCGTCCCGGACCTGGTGGCTTAAAATTCACGCTGGACGCGTGTGCGTGCATGCCCAAGATCCTGAGAGGAGAATGGAGGAGAAGGGATTGTGGCGTGGCCATTCCCCCTGGGGGGTGATTTCTCGCTTTCTGTCTCTATGTCTCTCTCTGTCTGTCTGGCGAGTGCCCGCGCCCTACAGTGAAAATCTCTCCCAAAAAAAAAAAAAAAGAATTATTTTATTGGGGACCAGCAGTTAGCATAATGGCTATGTCGCTGGACTCCCACGTAGTCGACTGCGGTTCGCGTCCCGGACCTGGTGGCTTAAAATTCACGCTGGACGCGTGTGCGTGCATGCCCAAGATCCTGAGAGGAGAATGGAGGAGAAGGGATTGTGGCGTGGCCATTCCCCCTGGGGGGTGATTTCTCGCTTTCTGTCTCTATGTCTCTCTCTGTCTGTCTGGCGAGTGCCCGCGCCCTACAGTGAAAATCTCTCCCAAAAAAAAAAAAAAAGAATTATTTTATTTTAACTTTGCCTATTTATTTTAATTTGACCCGAGAGGGACAGAGAGAGAGAGAGAAAGTGAGAAAGCAAGCTGCCAGGTCCGGGACTTGAATCATGGTCAGCCATGGTTAAATGCCCTTAACCACCCTGCCACCTGCCGGTCTCCTTTATTGAGCTTTCAAAAGACTATTTATTGGGATAGCCCCATGGCCTCCTGGTTAAAGAAGACAATGTGGCTATTTGTGGTTCGAATCCCACCTCAGTGGCTTAAAGAACACAGTGGGCACATGTGTATGTGTGCTCCAAATCCCAACAGGATGGAGAAATGGAGGAGAGAAGATTGCAGCATCACCACAACCCGCTGGGATGTGTTTTCTCTCCCCTTCTCTCTCTGTTTTTCTCTGGCAAGCAAAATTATATATATGTACCCTATTATATGTACCCTCTAGCAAAATTATAATTAAAAAAAGTTTTATGCATATTCTTTCAGCGTTTTCTGTCATTAACGTGTTATACATATGGATGTATGTACACAAATGTATGTGCTATATATAGTTTTTAAAATATGTCAAATAATGCTATGCAGATTTTTCTGCAATCTTCCTAATATCTTTTAAAAAAAAATTCCCACAATCATTTTCTTTTTTGTTTTCATTGTTTTAATAGTCGTAATAAGAGATTAAACAAGTGGAAAATGGAATAAATGAAATCCAATGACAGTTGCCTATATCAGCTTATTCCTACAAATAACCATGATTCAAAGTTTATTGACCTGGAAAAAGGTTGAGTATTTTTAGAGATAAGTGATGGATACATGGAATCTATTACATTTTTCTGTTTACTTATAGGTACATTTGGACTTTTCATAATGAAAAGTTAAAATTTCTTGAGAAATATTTATTTTTTAAAAGTTACTGAAAATATTTGGCTACTTTTTCACCTGGTAAAAACTTGAAGATGCTCTCAGCAAATTTATGCTACATTTAGTAGCAGTCCAAACTTCTGGCTTGGTCTTTATTTATTTATTTGAGAGAGAGAGAGAAGAATCTCCTGCCCTGATCCTCAGCCTTCCTAGTCAGCTAAGATCATGGGCAGGAGTGCACCTCACATGTGCAAATTGACCCGGGAACCAAACCCTGATAATCCACATAGCTTCCAGCACAATGGAGTGGCGTGCTACCACTGTGCCACTATAGCCAGCCTTCTGGCTTTGTCTTGATCTAAACAAGCCTGGGTAAAATAAGAGAGAGGGGCTAGTGCAAGGAATGAAGATGAGTGGTAAACGGGAGACTTGTATCTGGAAAGCAAAATGGCTTTCTGGCTGAGACAGGGACCCATGTAACAGTTTGGTATCATTTGTGTTCTGAAATAGGCTCCAGACAAGGAGTGCCCGTGGTGGGGCTGGTGGTGGAAGGAGGTCCCAATGTCATCCTCTCGGTGTGGGAAACTCTCCAGGACAAAGACCCAGTGGTGGTGTGTGAAGGCACAGGCAGAGCCGCTGACCTCCTGGCCTTCACCCATAAACACCTCGCAGAGGCAGGGTGAGTTGTTGACTCTTCCTTTTTGAAACACAGTAACTATTTATTCCTGCACTTTAGTTCTTTAAGCTGGGCATTTATGTGGGCCACATATCCTTGGTGTGTAGAGCTGAGACTGAAATTCACATTTCGGTGACTTTGTATTTGTTGATCAACACCAATATGACTGCTAATGATGAGTGGTGCTATTTTCTTAGCTGACAAGTGGCCTACCTTTAGCACAGAAGCTTGAACCTTGTCTCGGCGTTGGGAAGATGTGTGTCTAGGGAGAGCGAGGGAGAATCTCCTGTGATTGTCCATTACAGCTGAAAGAACCCTGCAATGAGAGGTGACCAAAATCATTTCCAGATCACCTTCATATTCATCCCCCATTAATAAAAAGAGCAAGAATTGGGCAAATCAATATTCTGCCATTTGTATAAAATATGTTGTCCTTCTGAAAAAGGCCTTTCTTCCCTTTTTTATTTTTATTGATTTATTTATTTATTTTTACATTTTCCCACAAACGTTTACTTTACATATCAAAAAATTTTTGCTCATACTCCATATTTTTTTAAAGTATTTTTCTCTAGCTATCCCTATACCCAGTGCAGTTCTTCCAGTCCCAAAGCATGGTATTCTACTGCATATATAAATTCAGTGCCTGAGAACTGAAATGTTGAGCTCACTAATTTATGTAGTAAACATTTATTCACTGCTTGTGCTCTTACAGCTCTCTGGGGTCTTGCTCTTTTTCTTTTTCTTTATTTTTTAGAAGTTGAGTTCTTTTTTTTTTTTTAAATGAAGTAGTTATTTAATTTTATTTACTGTTATTATTTAATTTGGTCAGAGAGAGAGACAGGGACAGACAGAGAGAGAGCTAGAGTATAAAAGCAAGCTGCCAGGTCTGGGACTGGAACCACAGTTAGTCATGTGAGAGTCTAGTGCCTCAACTATCATGCCACATGCTGGACCCTGGGTCTCGTTCTTTATAATTTCTCTCTGTTCTTCTGCCCTTGATGTGAGAGTACCCTCTGTACCCTTCCTGTCCTTTTCCCTCTGTCCCTTTCCTAAAGGCGTCCTGGATGAGTGGTTCCTAAACCTTCTGTAGTTTCAGATCCCTTCAAGAATGTGATGGCCGTTATTTCTGGATATGCATTGCCTTCTGGAGATCTATCAGCTCAAGAACTCTGCCTCAGAGTGTATTCTTTTCAGGGTAAAGGCAGAACAAGCCCTTCTCAATTTCTCATCAGCCTTTGCCAGGGGCGCCTTCTTCCCTTTGCTTCTTGTTCACTTTCTATCTTGGGAGAACTGTCCTTAGAAACCATCTTGGTTAGGTGGGGCAGGTGGGTTTCCTTGTCCTGATGATGCTGGCTTGTTTCCTGTTCTGGGATGTGTCAAGTTATGACCATCTATTTCTGTCCTAGGGTGCTGCGTCCTCAGGTGAAAGAGGAGATCATCGGCATGATACAGAACACTTTCAACTTTAGCCTTGAACAGTCCAAGCACCTTTTCCACATTCTCATGGAGTGTATGGTACACAGAGATTCTGTGAGTAACATGAGTTGATTACTGATTGAAAAATGCTGATTTCAAAAAATTTCATATTTATTTTCATAGTTTTAAAAGTATAAAAACTCTTACTATAATTTGAACATGTATAACTCCACAGAATTTGACCCTTAGTTGAGTAGATGTGGCTTCTTATCAACCTACTTCATGTTTCAAATTCCAAACTCTACCCGGGAAAAAACATTTAGCATAGCAGTGTGAGAGGGAAGTTACCAGACTTAGTGAAAATTATACACAAATATTTTCAGAGGGTAAGGGGCTAGCTCCAGGTCTTCATTGAACTCAGGTCTGCTAGTGTAGATGACTGCATTCCAGCATCCTGTAAATCCTGCAGGAGGTCCCTGGGAATGGTTTGGGCAATAGAAAACGTGAGAACAGGCTCTGGGATGGTAAATGGAGCTCATAGACTACGGGCTATGGCTGTAATGTAGACTCAGACGTTTTTAGTGTTTTAGGGGACTTTGATCATGTGCACAGAAGTAATGATAGGTAAAGGGAACAATGGACGAAGTTGTAGAAACATAGAATTTGTATCTTTATAGGACTTTGGAGATTATTCAGTGGGTTCTCCTCATTAGATAAATGGAGAACCTGAGATTCAGTAGCATATTAAATAGCTGTTTACCCGAGGCTGGCTAGTCAGTGGCATACCTGGGACGAGGACTTGTCAGTCTCGGCTTTTTGCTGTTAAACCAGCTCCCTCTACTAGATGAAATGTATTTTCATTGGAAAGTACTAAGATACATTCATTAATAACATGTAGCTCTTTATAGCCTTAAATAAAGTCCTTATTTGTCTTAAAAAAATGTCAGTCCCATGCCAGGATGCACTGGACACTTTAGCTTTGTGATGGCCATGAGTGCCATCCATCATACTTGCTCATTAGGTTCATTGTGAAATTGCCTCATGTATTTTATGATAAACCCTTAGGGATTTATTTCTCATTAAAAAGCAAAAGTTTTTGTTTTTTAAAAGAATTATTTATTTAGTTTTATTTATTACTATTTTTAATATGCTATAGGGAATATGCATACACATGTGAGAGAGAAAAGTTTAGTTTTAGTTTTACTATATGACATGTATGCTCACCTGATTCAGAGCAAGAAAGAGAGTGAGCGAGAGAATGAGAGAGAGAGAGAGGAAAGAATGTGAGAAATCACTGCCCATGCTGCAATCCCTTCTCCCCCTTTAACTTCTCAGGATTTTGGGCACACAGGCCTGGTGTGTTTTTCAAGCCACAGGTCTAGGACATTAGCCCTGCAGTCAGCCATGTAGGATCTGGCTACCTTAACTGTCATGCCACCCAGCTGGCCCTGATTTTATTTACATTAGGAATTAACATTGAGGTTCTTTTCCTTGTAGCAGGTATAGAGTAAATTAGCATAATAGCATTCTTCCATAAATGATTCCTTTAGTATATGTGGAATTTTTTGCCTTTTTTCTCTTAAGTGCCTACAATTCTTCCTTACCCTACTTAAAAAGTTTTCTGTAAGTAGAAAAATAAAATAAAATAAAATTGCAGCTACATTGGCTTTTACATTACACAATGAAGAATGTTCTCCTCAGTTCATTGGCCCAAGAGGGAATTCTGTGAATGCTTTTTGGAAACGTTTCATTGGTAGTTCCCTGAAAGTATGCTTTGTATTGTTCAACTGTTACAGATGATCATATTTGATGCTGATTCTGAGGACCAGCGAGACCTCGATTTAGCAATCCTGACAGCGTTGCTGAAGCGTGAGTGTTCAAGGGGGGCTTCAGTGGTTCCTCACTTCCTCTTCTCACGTTCCATGACACTTTGTATACCGAATGTGTGACTTTCTTTCTTTTACTCTAGGTACAAATTTATCAGCATCAGAACAATTAAATCTGGCAATGGCTTGGGATAGAATGGATATCGCCAAGAAACATATCTTAATTTATGGACAACACTGGCAGGTATAGTGAAAATGAAGTTGTTTGGAAGAAAATATTTATTTCCTGATTCACCCTCCCCTCTTTTCCAAAAGCATCTAGAATACAATATCTTTTTAAAAATTCTCTCTGAGTCCATGAATGATACCTCTTTTGAAGTTTTCTTTTTGTTGCCTTGTCTGATTTCCCCTAGATGGTTTTTTTAAGCTTTTGCCATAGGTCACATGTACTCACCAGAGAGAAGAGAGACAACAAGACACAGAGAAGGAGAAAATGAGAAATCACCTCCCCGGGGGGTGGCTACGTCGTAATCCTTCTTCCATATTCCTCTTGGGATCTTGGGCACACCTGCATATGTTCCTGTTGTGATTTTCAAGCTGCTGGGTTTGGGACTTGAACCATAGTGAGCCACGTGGGAATCCAGCCACGTTAACCACCACATCACCTGCTGGCCCTAGCTGGTGTTTTTTTTTTGCCATTGGGTTCCTGTGCTCGTTACAGTGAGAGAGACTGAGAAAGGGAAAGTAAGGAATCTCCCCCAAGGGGAATGGCCACATTGTAATCCCTTCCCCTCTCGGGATTTTGGACATGTATGTACATGAACTCAGTGTGATTTTTTTCTTTTTTTTAAATGGAGAGATTTTTGCTGTAGGGTGTATGTGCTTTCTGGAGATGGAGAGAGAAAGAGAGAGAAAGTAAGCCTGTCCATTAATTTAGGAAGCTGTGAGATCTTTACCATAGTCAGTTTTCCCATCCAAAAACATAGATTTTTTTGAAAAATTTATTCCAGATGTCTTCACACAAGTTCTGCACTTTTCTTAGTAAAGTTGTAGTGTGCCTGTGTGGTTTTGAGCTTAAACACATGTAATCCTTTAGTTGTTTTACTTTCTTAATTGTCTTCACTTTTCTTACTTATTTGGACCCTCTGAAGCCTGGTGCACTGGAACAAGCAATGTTAGATGCTTTACTGATGGATCAGGTGGATTTTGTGAAGCTCTTAATAGAATATGGAGTGAACCTCCATCGCTTTCTCACCATCCCCCGACTGGAAGAGCTCTATAATACGGTGAGTAGGGAACGTTTCATCAGTCATTTCCCTTCAGATTAATTAAGATGTCTCCTTGAATGTTCGTATACAAAGATAGTTTATAGAAAGATTTTCAACCAAAGGAAAAATAATCTTTTTTTTTTTTTTTTTGAGAGGTTTTTCCTATAGAGCACATGCACTCACCAGAGAGACAGAGAGAGACAGAAAGTGAGAAATCACCCCCCAGGGGAGATGGCCACGCTGCGGTCCTTTCTCCTCCATTCTCCTCTTGGGATCTTGGGCACACATGCACACACACCGGCATGAGTTTAAGCCAGTGGGTTTGGAACTCAAGCCGTGGTTGACTACATGGGAGTCCAGTGACATAGCCATTATGCCAACTGCTGGTCCTGGAAAAACAGTCTTATCAATTCCATTTTATCCCAGTAAGACATAGTTAAAGACAAAGATGCAAATAAGAACAAATTGCTCTTTATTGAGTTATTGGAAGTATCTCAATCTGAGACCACTATTACAATGCTGTCCCTGCAACTTTCCTACACAGATCTTTTGTTGAAACCAGAGTGACTTAGTCATTATAAAAACCCCAATTGCTCAAGCTGTGTAGCCTTGAAATATCCTTCCTTGTCCTCGGTAACTTATCCTTTCTTTAAAGACCTATTCATAGCCTGTTTTCTTGATTACCTAGTTAGTTCAGAGCAATCTGTTCCTGGAAGTGTGAATTATCTGTAACTGTTTTTGAGCACATACATTGTTGTATTGTTGAATGTCTTTCGGTGCAAGTACCCACTTTTCTACTACTGTAAACACACCACCATTGAATCCCTTAGAAGCCAGTTGGAACACAGTAAGGTTCAATAGTTCAATAGATCTGTTGATGGAATGTACCTGTTTGACAGGATTTTTAATTGTGTAGTAAAACTTGCTTATGATAAAGGATAGCTATAAATTCTCGGCATGTTGTGATCCTTAGGATTTATATTTGTAAATTGTATACAATATTTCTGCTTCTTACCAAGAGAAAGTTAAAAGTATTTAGTCTATGTATGTATGTGAGCTAGCTTTGAGAAATATTTCATTTAATTCCATCTTCACTTGGGAAACAACTTCATTAGAATTAATTGCCTTAAACTGTAGAACTAAAGTTTTAGAATTCAGGTTTTCTTGTTTATTCTAAATGAAGTGTTTTTCTCCTGCTAACACATGGTAATTGAAGGGAGTAATGTTTCCTTTTATTTTTTATCACAGAAACAAGGACCTACTAATATGCTCTTACATCATCTTGTCCAAGATGTAAAGCAGGTAACCTAATTACGAAAGAATGAAAATCTTTGTATGTTGCCTTAGCTTTGTGGGCGAGGAGTCACCAGATTTTCCTTCATAAATTCTGTGCTGGGATTTTCTAGCAAATTACTTGCCTCTTTACCTGTGATTCTGAACAATTTCATCACCAATCCATACTCTTACATTTTTTCGCCTTCATTTGCCTTATGTTTTTAAAAATTTGCTCCATCGAGTAAGTGACATTAGCTAATAAAAAACAGGGAGACATACAAGACTTCCAATCAGAACTTCAGCTTAACATGATACAAGAGTGGTCTGGTGATGATGCTAATACCAGCCGAAATAAAGGAGTGTGTAGTTTTTATCTTTATTGGTGTACTACTATGTGATTGCCCTATGTTTGGTTAAGTAACTTTATTCACATCCCCAGAAAAGTGCAAGTACACTTTGTCACTACAGTTAAAATCCATCCCTGATATACTTTACAAGTTCTTTTTTCACTTTTCTGAAGTCTGACATCTGTTGGAAATATGTAGACTGTGGCAAAACCAGAGTGAAAGGAAGGCATTTAGTTGGCAAATCTGCAGTAAGCAAATGTGTCCATGCTGATGTAAACTTGGTCTCTACTGATTTCATGCTACATAAAAATGATTTCCTTAAATTATTTCCTTCAAGCCTGTCACAATTAAATGAAGAAAAAGGAATGAAATAGCTTAAATATACTTTTAAGATTTTTTAGGTTCTTGCTATAGGGTGTGTGTGCTCGCCAGACAGACAGAGAGAGACAGAGAGACAGAGAGCGAGAAATCCCCCCCCCAGGGGGGATGGCCATGCCGCAATCCCTTATCCTCCACTCTCCTCTCGGGATCTTGGGCATGCACGCACACGCACCCGGCGTGAGTTTTAAGCCAGAGGGATGGCCATGCCACAGTCCTTTCTCCATCATCCTCCTGGGATTTTGGGCATCTGAAGTTACTTTCAAGTTGCTAGTTCCAGCCATGCCGCAATCCCTTCTCCTCCACTCTCCTCTCGGGATCCTGGGCATGCACACACACGCACCCGGTGTGAGTTTTAAGCCACCGGGTCCGGGACGCGAACCATGGTCGACTACGTGGGAGTCCAGCGACATAGCCATTACGTTAACTGCTGGTCCCTATTCTTTTCTTTTCTTTTAATGAGAGAGAGGAGGAGAGGGATAATGAAAGGGACAGAGAGAGAGAAAAGAAGGAGAGAAAGAATTTGGGGGGACAATGTCCTCCTGCTCTAGCCTTCTAGTCTGCCTGGTGGTAGCTGTGTGGTACTATCCTGCCTGTCTAGGTTGGTCTGAGAATGAAGTCTAGGCTTCCCATGTGGCTTCACCTATTGCTGCAGCACCCTGCTACTTGTGCCACCACAGCTGAACTATTTTCTTCTTTTTTATTTCTTCTACATCTTTCCATAATTTATTTTAAATATGATATAGTTAGTACTGTGCTAAAGGTGATAGCTATTTCCACAAAGGAGAAAGAGACTGAAAAGGTAACCCAATGTTAATTTCAGATCAAGTCCATTCAGTATACATGACAGGACTTCAAAGTACTCATAGAGAAATGCAATTAAAGCATGAGTTTATCTGATGCAAAGGAAGTTTAAAATCTATGCATAGTCTTTTCATTAATGTATGTTTTCTATGAACTTTTTAAAAAATAATTATTTTATTTAACTTTATTTATTTATTTTAATTTGACCAGAGATGGGCAGAGTGACAGAGAGAGAGAAAGTGAGAAAGCAAGTTGCCGGGTCTGGGACTTGAACTGCAGTCGGCCATATGGGAGTCCAACACCCTTAACCACCAAGCCACCTGCTAGCCCCTATTTTCTATGAACTTTTGAAGATCTCTTGTAGTTGATGATTTTACTTCTGTTGTAACTGTTACATTATTTTTATTTAAAAGCAATGTGCGTTTTTTTTTTTTTTTTAATTTTTTTTTTAGAGTTTTCTGCTATAGGGCACATGCGCACCTTGGAGAGACAGAGGAACAGAAAGTGATAAATTGCCCCCCAGAGTGGATTGCCATGCTGCAATCCCTTCTCTTCCATTCTTTTCTCAGGATTTGGGGCACACATGCACATGTGCCCAGTGTGAGTTTTAAGCAGCCAGGTCCAGGACTTGAACTGTGGTTAAGTACATGGTCAATTGCACCATCTGCTGATCCCCCAAAACAATCTTTTATATTATATTTAAGTGTATTTTATTCAAATGTGCATGTATGTATGTATGCATGATAGGGAGAGTGAATGAGAGAGAGATAGAGAGCAGGAGAAGCAGAGAACAGGTGTAAGTATGCACTGATGTCTATAAAACTAAAAACATGAAGGCTAAGATCCTTTCTCCTTTTGAATAAGCAGATTGTATCAATAGCTAGTCACAGTACTAGCTCAGTTTGTAGAGATACTAAAAAGTATGAGTCTACCTTTTTGTGGTTCATTTGGTTCTAATCCAGTAGCACAGAGAAAGAGACGGAGGGAGAACTGAAAGTTAAGTTCATTGCCTGTGTTGGTTCCAGCACACTCTTCTCGCAGGCTACAGAATAACCCTGATCGACATCGGCCTGGTAATAGAATACCTCATTGGTGGAGCATATCGCAGCAGCTACACTAGAAAAAATTTCAGAGCCTTCTACAACAACCTCTACCGAAAACATAAGGTAACATCACTGAAAAATACTCAGGTAAAATGAAAGATAATTAGGAATTATAGTTTTAGAAAAACGGCTAGGGAAGTTTAGATGGGATTAGCTCCCAAAGTGGACATTCTTTGTATGAATATCTTTAATCCGCTATACATAAAGTGCTGTGTGCTAAGTACCCGTGTGCTGGTTGGGAATGAACATCAAGATCAGGAGTTCAGAAACTCCTAGAAGGAACAAATGTACGAATAACTACACAGAATGTAAAGCGGGATATAGTAGGTGCTATACTGATGTAACAGTAATGAGATAGATCAGAGGGAGAGATGACCAGTTCTTCTTTCCTTTTCTTTCTTCTTTTGAGACTATAGAAACCAAAAGCTAAACAGAATACAGTCTATAAACTCATAAGAACCCATAGTCTGGACATGACAACCTTGGGATAAGTATGTAGGTGTTATATTGGAAGGTGCATGGAGAACATACAGTACTCAAAAAATACAAATTAAATATACTTTGTTTTCAGTTAAAGTTTTGAAAGTATAGGAATGTAAAAATTATAGAGTAGCAGAGGAAACATTGCTTCCTTTTTTTTTTTAAGAGTTTTTTCCTGGTTGATTAATTCTTTCTCTTTTAATAATTATTATTTTTTCTTTTTTTTTAAGAGACATATTTGTTACAGGGTATGTGTGTTCACCAGAGAGTCAGAGACACAGAGACAGAAAGCGAGAAATCACTCCATGGAGGGATGGCTATACCACAGTCCCTTCTTCTCCATTCTTCTAATGGGATTTTGGGCACGCAGGCACACCTGCCTAGTGTTAGTTTTAAGCCACCGGGTTTGGGACTTGAACCACAGTCGACTATGTGGGAATCCAGTGACGTAACCATTACCCCATGTGCTTGGTCCATCTTTTATAAAACATGTTTAATTTTATTTTAAAAAATTTATTTAGTTTACAGTCAGTCACTGTATATCATTGCAGCATACAAAATGAGTATTCCCATCCAACATACATTATATGTTGACTCAACCAAAAGATATTGCCATACATGTCTTCTTTGTCAAATAATTTTCCATTTCTTGTTTCTTATATATTTTACTCTCCCCCTTGATTCCCTCCCTCTTCCCCTCTGCCGTTTCTCACCCTTCTCCCACACTGTCTGTGGTATCCACAGTTGCTTTCCATTTTTTTCCTCCACATTTAATGATTCTCAAAAGATCTTAATTAAACTAAATACTTTCAGTGGTAAGCAGTTGATATAAACGTATGTGTGAACACATGTCTGACTTTAGGCGTCAAACTCAGTGAGTAGAATGCACATACTATAACGTAGCACCAGGCTCAGGCTCTACAGTATATAGCTTACTGTGCTCATTACACAGGTATTTTTTAAATATTTTTTTTAATTTTAAAAAAAGGCGTTTTAGCTTTAATAAATCAAAATAATAAATATTAAGAAAAATTTGCTTGGGCCAGTAGGTGGCGTGGTGGTTGGGGATGCTGGACTCCCACAAGGCCAACCACGGTTCAAGTCCTGGACCTGGAGGCTTGCTCTCTCACTTTCCCTCTCTCTCTTTCTCTCTCGCTGTCCCTCTCTGGTCAAAATTAAAAAAAAGAAAAGAAATAAATGAATTAATAAATAAAAAATAAAATAATTCTTTAAAAAAAAGAGGAAAAAAAAAGAAAAATTTGCTTAAGTCTTAAAGCCAAGAAAATGGTTAGGATTCTTTTCAAGTAGTAGGTAGATCCTAAAACCTGAAAAAAAAGATATGGACAAAGCTAAAATCTAATATAAAGGGCACTGTGGTATTCTTCTGAAATATTTTTTTCTCTCTCCATTCCCCCTTTTACCAAAAAGATGCATAAACTAGCTTTGTGAAAAAATAAGTTTAGTTTCGGGACCAGCAGTTAGTGTAATGGCTATGTCGCTGAACTCCCACATAGCCGACCGTGGTTTGAGTCCTGGACCTGGTGGCTTAAACTCACACCGGGCACGAATGCGTGCGTGCCCGTGATCCTGAGAGGAGAATGGAGAAGAAGGGATTGTGGCATGGTCATCCCCCCTGGGGAGCTATTTCTCACTTTCTGTCTGTCTGTCTCTCTCTGTCTTTGTGGCGAGCACACGTGCCCTATAGCAAAAACCTCTCCACCAAAACAAACAAACAAACAAACAAAAAACCAGTTTAGTCTCAATTTGGGCTGTTATTTGCACAAAATCCCATAAGAATATTATTTTATTTAATTGTCTTTGCTGGAACCTTTTATAAGGAACTTCAATTAGACTTTTTAGAAAGCCTCCCCAGGTTACTGAGCCAAGACAGGAATTCACCATCTGACTGTGCCTATAAGTACCTGTACCTGAAAGCTTTTCGGGCCTGTCAGGAAGTGACATTCTTTACTTACCTGCCAGGCAGAACTGTTTATGGTACCAGACAATCCTCCCAAGAGCTTCTGTTGGCTTTCTTGAGATCTACCTTAGTTCTTTACCTTTCTAGTCATATCTTCAGGTATGATATTCCAGTCAAAGCTCTGGTAATAACCAGTATTTCCGATTTCTGATGCAAGGCAATAGATATTATTAAACTTATGCAAATAACCATTCTGCCACAAAATAAGAATACTCACAAATATTTTCCAATTCCAGAGCAGTCAGGAAGGGAGAAAAGTTTATCTTTCAATGAAAAAAATAATTTAACAAATTGCTGAACCTATCAACAGCTCAAAAGAAAACAAAAGTTCTTAAGTCTAGAAAACAAAGCATGGGAGAAAGTCAGTAATATTTTATTCTAAAGTCATAAATTCTGTTTTACCAGTTTGTCTAAAAAATATGGAATGTGGGGCTAGCAGATGGTGTAATAACTACGTCACTGGACTCCCACATAGTCAACTGTGGTTTGAGTCCTGGACCTGGTGGCTTAAACTCACACCAGGTGCATGTGTGTACGTGTCCATGATCCTGAGAGAAGAAGGGATTGAGGTGTGGCCATCCTCCCTGCATGTTGATTTTTTTTGCTTTCTGTCTCTCTGTCATTCTGGCGAGTGCATGTGCCTCACAGCAAAAACCTCTCCAAAAAGAATGTGGAATGCTTCACGAATTTGCATGTCATCCTTGCACGGGACCATGTTAATCTCTGTATTGTTCCAATTTTAGTATATGTACTGCCAAAGTGAGTCCTAGAGATATTTTTGCTATAGGACATGTGCGCTCTCCAGAGAGACAGAAAGTGAGAAATCACCCCCTGGGCTGGAGTGGCTGCACTGTGGTTCCTTCTCCTTTGTTCTCCTCTCAAGATTTTGGGCATGCACACACACTTACCTGGCGTGAGTTTCAAGCTGCTGGGTCTGGGACTTGAACAGCAGTCGACTACATGGGAGTCTAGCAATGTAACTGCTATGCCATCTGCTGGTCCCAAAATTACTTGTTTCTTAAAATTGGCATTACAGATTAGTAGCCTGAGGAGATTAACAGGATACCCTCAGTATCCACAAGAGTTTGGTTCTGGGACCCCATGAGCTACCCAAACTCTCAGATGCTCTAGTTCCTTATAGAAAACAGCCTGGGGAACCAGCAGTTAGCCTAATGGCTATGTCGCTGGACTCCCATGTAGTCGACTGTGGTTCGTGTCCCGGACCGGTGGCTTAAAACTCATGCTGGGTGCATGTGCGTGCGTGCCCAAGATCCTGAGAGGAGAATGGAGGAGAAGGGATTGTGGCGTGACCATCCCCCCGGGGGGTGATTTCTCGCTTTCTGTCTCTATGTCTCTCTCTCTCTTCCTGGCGAGCACACGCGCCCTATAGCGAAAACCTCTCCCCCCACAAAAGAAAGAAAACAGCCTGACATTTACATATAACCTATATACATCCTTCCATATATTTATTTATACTTGGATTATTTATGAGACCTAAAACAAGGTAGGTGCTATGTGAATAGTTGTTATACTGTGTTGTAGGGAATAACGACAAGGAGACAGTCTGTGCAAGTTCAGTACAGACATAACCATCATAGGCCCAACCACAGAGAATACACGGCAACGCAAGACATTGTCCATCCTCCGTTGGTTGAATCTACGGATGCAGAACTCAAGATACCAGGGTTAGGTGACATTAGCAAAAGTCATTTGGGGCATTTTTGTTGAGAAAAGAGCAGGAGAAGTGAGGTGCACAGTGCTGGCACATTGAGTCATGCTTTTGTAGCAACAAGAAGACCTTTGTCGCTGAAGAACAAGTGCTAGGAGATTGTGAAGGATGAGACTGGAAAGGTAGTTTGGGGTAAGATCACTCAGAAAGCTTAGGATATCAAACTACTTTGGATCTTTATTTATAAACAGGTGAAGTAAGAACCCAGCTTGTCCTTAGGAAATGAAAACCAAAAGCAACAACAAAAGAAAAACAAAGGGAAACCTAAATCTCACACAGAAAATAGTCTTTATTAAGTTTTCAGAGGCAAAGGGATATTTAAGGAGGTATCCACTACTTCAGTGAAAGAGAACATACGAGGTCGTCGGGAGAGTCATGATGTGTTTTTCTAGGTTTTTGTATGCAAAAATGCATCATGACTTTCCCGATAACCCAATACGTTGCTGTGTCAGACAGGAGGACTGCTTTTAGTGGTGGTGATACCAGTGCAGAATTGGGGACCTTCCCCTGGTTCCCTTTCTAGAAATGGCCCTCTGGTATGAAATACTCAATAATCTGATTGTTTTCCGGTGAGAGAAGACAGAGTTTATTGTGTTTCTTAGTAAACTAGATCATAACAGTTACTAGTACTGGGTTTGGAATCAGAGGGGTCTAGTTTTGCTCAGTAGTAGTTGTGTAAACTTGAGTAAAGAACTTAAGCCCTGTGTTAGTTTCCTCTTCTATAAAACAGGACTATTAATGTACTTTTCTTTTTATTTATTTTAACAAATTTGCTAGGATTGAATAAGAGAATACCTAAAATATCCATATTCATGGTACATAGAGGTTATAGAATAATTGTTACTAATAACTGTAGTTATTATAATGATAAGTTTCATTTTATATAATAATAGTATTAATAATTTGGGTATTACCTTTAAAGATGTCTTGACCTTACTTAATCATTGTTCAATTTTTATCCATAACGTAAAAACTAAGAATAAAGCCGTTCGAAGCCTATGGTTTGTATCATATGTTTTATTTCAGTCCCTTTAAGAATGTTTCTTTTTGTTATTTCTCACTGATGAAAAAAAATAGCTATGACTCATGTTGTTATTGGGCCTAGCCTCTGGAATTGCAGTGGAGATATTATATAACACTTGGAGAAATTCCATAACTTTCTAACTTAACCTTAGCCTGGAGCTGTTTGTGAATGGGAACTTTTTCTTATCAGAGCTATAAATCTTTATTGCCTATTCTGACCTTGTTCCAGGTATAGAACATCCATTGATTCTAATGGAATTTCCACATAGAGAAGGAATGCAGATACATAATAGGGAACAAAAGCCTGTGTTCTCTAAGGTGTTAGGAAAATAGCAGTGTACGTAATGCAAAAATTATGGGGCGAATGAGTAGTTTTCAAGGAGATTAATTGCTAATCATGGATGAGAGACAGAGACAGCCACTAGGGATAGAACATGACATGTTATTTGGTTTTCATTAGTGTCTAGAAATAAAAAGTGGTCAACTACTATAATCATTTTTTGTTTGTTTGTTTTATTTTAAAAACAAAATAACAACATATGCCAGAGAGTGACCAGTTTTGCTGACAGCCTCGCCCAGCACCCCAGTCACTGGAGACGTTCCTCAGGAAGTAGAAATGAGTCTACAGAAAGCACGCTGCATTCCCAGTTTATTAGAACGGCCCAGCCTTACAAATTCAAGGTAGCACATACTTGTTTTTAGATTCGAAAATGAAATCGTCTTTGCAGACAGAGACTGTTTCTTTGTTTGAAGTTGGAGGAAGGGAAGAACCCACAGAGGACCTATTTACAAGTGCCATAAACAGATGGTGCAAGTCAAAAGCCTAACACAGCCGTCCTCCAGCCACAGCGAACCAAGGCCCAAGACGCTGGTGACAGAGGACTGTCAGGGCTTGCACTTCAGCCTCTCTTCCTCGTTCCTTCCCTGCTGTGTCCACGTGGTGATCTGGGCAGGCAGCCTAGAGGATGGCACTAAATAAATGGAATCATCACCCCAACATCACACCCTTATCCTTCTCAGCACAAGCCCAGGGGGATGGCAAGGCTGCTTGCTTCTCCTTCACTTTTCTCTGCCTGGAGCTTTGTATCTTTTTCCCCATTTAAAGCTTTCCTGAAATTACTTTTGGCCTAGTATTATAGCTTGTCAACGATAATGTATTTGTGTGCATGTTGTGTGTGTGCACACACTTGTGCATGCAATGCTGTTACTGTTATTCCCCTTGCCTGGACTTCCTCAGACCCGCTTTTCTCTGGGGATAAATGCTTTTGCTCCAGAGTGTCCATGTAAATGGTTACCATGCTGGCTGAAAAAGGGTTGCCTTCTATAGCTCCTGGGATGAAAAGGTATTTTATAATACCACCTTTGGTGATATTGGTTGTAATTAATAGAGATGAATTCCATTTATTTAAAGAAATAGAGAATATGGATTACTTTTTTTTTTTTTTTGGCTCTTTCTCCTCAAATGAAAAAAA